GGCGGCGGGGGCGGGGGGGGGGGCAGGGGCCATTGGCCCACCCACTTTTTCTACTGGGCACCACTTTTGTGACTGTTCCCAGCACCAGTGACAAATATTTTACGAACATTTTACATTATTATTATTATTATTATTATTATTATTATTATTATTATTATTATTATTATTATTTGGTGCTGAGAGACCTTGGTTATTTGCGCCTTATAAATTGACCTATTATGGAGCGACGCTCTTTATGCTTACCATGAAGATGTAGAGTAAGTGTAAATGATTGGCTTACAGTAAACTTTCAAACTAAACTAGCGTAATATAACCAATTTAAACTCCATTTAATTTAACGAAAACAATAAGATAATTAATAATGCCATTTTTAAAAATAAAGTTCTCTGAAGGTAAAGAATTTACAGTACACTGTAGTGTAATGTGTTAGGTTGTAAAAACTGTATTGAATAAAAAAAAGAATCTTTCCATTAAAAAAATCTTTCGCTTGATATTAGGCATTAGTCATTTCTGAAACAAAATGATAGGCTATGTCAAGTGTTATATTGAAGAGTGGCGGATTCAAGAGGGAGCGCACTTAGCACGAGCCCCCAACCTCCTCATTTTTTTCAAAATTATTTAAAACAAAAACAGACAAAATTGTATTAAACTTTTAATCTGAGAGTGCCATTTCCGACCATTTAGAGGTGCCCTCAGCCCCGTGGGGCTCAGGTGGGTGGACATTCCATTTGCACAAGACACTCTCCCTGGGTCCCCCTCTTCGACTTTCTGGACCCGCCACAGTTGGAGTAGGCCTATCATTTCTGGGCTACTATAGAAGGGTAATTCCCATGGTTTCGTCGGGAAATACCCATATTAAGGGTACCCCACATGATTAATAATTCATTGAGATCGTGAAGCAATCTTGACTTCGACTTTGTTCGGAAATCAGTGGCGGATTCAAGGGGGTGGGGCCTAAATGTTATGTCTGCAAGTACAATTTCCGGCCATCTAGAGGTGCCAAATCAAAAATTTTCTTATCTCATCCCCAACCATGGTGGGGCTGAGGTGGTAGATCCTCTGTGAAGGGGCTCCTCCCCACCCTCGGCCCTCTAGGCTCTGGATCAGCCACTGGAAATTACAACAATTATGAAGTCATAAAACAGTAGCTTGATGTCTATAAAATAACTAATACAATTCACCAAACTTCGTAAAATATCTGTAGCTTACCGGGGCCCTTGGCGGCCCCCTGGCTCCCAGCCTAGATGCTCACTTGCTCGCATACCGGACCTTCTCAAATGGCCACGCACTTTTAAAAACGTTCCGCCGCCGTTGTATATAGCCATGCTGTGCTTATATATGGTCATGATGTGATGTCGTCATGATCATATTATTTAGGCATATGTCACATGTTTTTGCTAAATAAAATTTGTTCGTCTGGACAGGGCTGTAAGCATCTTCAGATGTCATACTGTTTTTTTTTTTTTATTTATTTTTGAAAACATATTTATACAGGATTCATATTGAAATAAATCTGCTTTTAACAATGGTCTTGTATCAAACATATAATATACAATTATTTTAAAGTTGCTCTACAAAGAAAAAAAAGGTTTATCCATTAAATGTCATACTTATTTATTTTTGAAAACATATTTATACAGGATTCATATTGAAATCAATCTGCTTTTAACAATGGTCCTGTATCAAACCTATAAAATATGTTAAGTTGCTCTACAAAGAAAAAAAAAGTTTATCCATTAGATGTCATACTGTTTTATTTATTTTTTACTTTGTCAACAGTTCATTGCCCTTTCAATACAAAAGTCTTCGTGTAAAGTGGACTTACTTCGTTCATTTATACCTCCATGGTTGAACCCACAGCCCGTTGAACCTTGGTTGAAACCATGGAGTGGTTGAACTATATGTAGGAGTGTTGGATAAAGTCTCACAAAGAAGGGCCATTGTTGCTAACTAAGATTTTAATCCTCGCTTTATCTCTGATTGACTGCTTGTCGTATGGCCCACCTCTTGCATAAACCACCAATAAATCTTGCTATCGGCCTAAACAGGTGTTTCAAAAATCCTCCGGAGATATTTTATAGTAATTAAATACAGTAATAATAGAAGAGGAGGTATACATGAAAGGGTATGATAAACGAATACAGATGCTATGGTGATTGAAATTATAGTTTTTCTTAACGCAAGATTCATTTTCAATGATTGATGAATATTTTGAGTAAGTTTCACCAATTGTTGATAATTATTATTCGAGTAATGTTATTTTCTATATAATTTAGCTAAAACTATAATTTAAAACGGAAAATTTGCGGCCATTTTGAATGCGTAATTTGGAGGCGTTCCCCCAAAGGGATTTTGGGTAATTTTGAGTTCTGAATTTCTCAAGACCTATATTTTCAGAAAATACAAAAATTAGCCGGTAGTACTTCCATTGCCCACTCCACCCCCAAAATAGCCTCTAATCTGCTGGCCTATTTCAGTCGCGGTTTGTTTTCAACAAATATATGGAGCGCCAATGGAGTTGCGAAAACGCCAAATTTAATAGGCCTAATTTTCATTGTAAGTTCGTCAATCGGTTTATCATACTTTTTTTTTTATTCATGTTTTATTGTCTTTCTACTAAGTAGCAACATAGGCTAATAAAATGAATACTATTATTACTAAACTAAATTTCAATTAATATTATGGTATTTATAGGTTATTTTCTAGTTTTAGTACCATTTTACTCTTTTATCGGACGGTTTTTATTTTCGTTTTGTTATCGATCCTACGATTACTACTACATAACAAATACAGCAAATAAAATGAATACTAACAATTTGGTATTTCTCATAGTATGGTATTGTTTTTTTTATATGATAGGCCTATTATTTATTTTAAAAAATCAAACTTTTTATCAGGAAAAACATTTCGAACATTTCGCAAAAATATAACAAATCTGGACCCATTTTCTTAACATTTTACTCATTTTAGGCTAAATAATAGAAATCTGTACCTATTTTTCATAAAGTGGACTCATTTTATGCATGAAATTTCATAATTTGGACCCATTTTAAAATGGCCTTTCATCAAATGCCTAGATCCTCCACTAAAACCGTACGGTAGGCCCCTATGCATTTTCAGAAATCGACTAAATATGCCTAAGCTCCACCACCTCCATCCCAGCAGCAGGGTTTTCCCAAGCGCCATCTACACCCTCATCTCCGGCCATATAGAGGTGCCATTATCATAAATGTTCTTACCTCAGGCCCAACCATAGTGGGGCTGAGGTTTCATGGACTCTCAAACTTTAAAATTCCTTCCCTTGCCCCCTTTATATCAAATTCAAATCCGCCACTGACATTGGGAATTTAAGAAGCCCAACTAAATCTAGTTCCCCCTCAATTTAAACAAAAATTAATAAAAGAAATTGGGAAAAAAGAAAATGATATTCAAATTGTATGGGAGTGATTTCTGGCCATTTTGAAGGTGCAATGGTCATAAATTTTCCTCCCTCAGCCTCAACCATGGTGGGGCTGAGGTGGTATTTCCTCCATCTGTGAAAGTCCTTCCCTGGCCCCTCTTCAAATTTCGAGATCCGCCACTGAAAACCGTATACCGGTATGCATCTTGAGAAGTCGATTAACTAAGACCAAAAGTTATCAAAAATGCCTGAGCTCCGCCCCCTCAATCCCAGCAGGATCCCCTCCCCCTAAGCGCGCACCCCCTTAAATTTTAGTTCAATCTCTACAAATTCGCACCCACCCAATAAAAATCCTGCGTACGGGCCTGTCACCTGCTCTGCACATAAGGTACAGATATATTTTTTGGTTTTTCTTTTTTCTTTTTTTAAAAAAATAAAAACCTCATTTGACATTCTACCTCAGCCTCGAATTGACCTTATTTTGTTTTTAATTGTATAGCAATTTCCGCCTCAGTGTTCTTTTAACATATGTTCTTATAACAACAAAAAAGTGTATATGTTTTATGTACATAACAATACGTTGTAAATTTAAACCACTTTACAAATTTAGCAAGTAAACACTTAAACAATTAAATTCATTTGTATTTTTATATTCACCTATTGATAACTTTAACAAATGACACTTACGAAAACGACCGAAGACAATTTACATATAAGAGTTGATGGCATTGATTTTATATGGTCTTACTATAGACATCCGTATATACATAACATTAGACTACAGAGACCTATACGGTATATTGTAAAAATAGTGGTAGTCGGCCAGATATCCAAAGATTGTAGGTTCGAATCTCACACTTTTTTTCATTAACTGAAAAATGTGGGGTTTTTTTCGTTAAAAAGCTCTGCTTGATACGTTATAATACCATGTTCTTATTCGAGGATTGAAAATCTGATAATAATAATAATAATAAATTTATTGAATCGTACACTTTTATATCAGTGGCACACACTATCAAGTGGTGCGTTCACAATAAAAACATTCAAACAATACAGAACGTTAAAACCGTTACACAAAAGCACAGTATAGTAAGAAACATGTAGGCCTACAATACAAGAAAAACAGTAAAATGACAATTATTTAAGTTCAAGTTAGCATTGAAAAGAGCATTAAATTAATTAAATTTCAAATTTTGAAAGTCTTTTTTTAAGACAGTGATCCTTTCATAATTTTTGTATTTTATTCCATACAATACCATCAGCAATCCTGAAAGACTTTATTGTTTCACCAATTTTTGATTTGGCAATAATAACTTTGAGGGAGTTTGAATTTCTTGTGTTATGTGAATAATAATAATAATAATAATAATAATAATAATAATAATAATAATAATAATAATAATAATAATAATAATAATATAGTTAT